ATCTGTCCACACCCTCCCTAACCTCCAAACCTTTTAAATATTTATTAAATGAAGTCCATCTATCTGATACCCTCACCTTAAAATCCCCTCCATCTGTACCTTGGAAAAGGTCAGGGGTCGAATCACTCTCTCATTGCAGTAAGACAGGAGAGTTGGGCTGGCTGGATGGTCAGTGAAGATGAATATCAGGGAGAGATTAATGTAGCAAATGAAAGATTCCCCTCATTCCTCGAGCCTGAGTTGCTAGCAGGCTAATACTTGCGAGAGTAGGGCAGCTGGCAGTGATTAGCTTATGATTCACTTTAGCTGCACATAGAGGCAGCTTGTAAAAATATGAACGGTATAACTGTTTCCTGAGTTTGTGCTGACAGCAGCTCCCGGGAGAATTCTGCACTCTGCAGGAACACATGGCCACGCACTGGGGCCGGTGCCAACCCATGGATTAGCTACGCTCGCTAACAGCTAGCTTCTCCGCAGCTCGACTAACAAGGTGCCACACACACTTCCTCAGTTCTGTGGAGATGGACATGGAGGTCAAGTGCAGTCCATATACGGCTAAGCACCTACATTTGATACCCAGATGAACATGCTAATGAGTAGAAGGCAGTGAAAACCTTCAATGTAGGACCTTTGTGTTACTCTGCTGTTTCTCCCAAAGGCATAAAGCCTGTCATCTAAATACTGAATTCTTAATCGTGCGAAATGTGTGATTTGGAAAGTCTCCCCCTTCTTGGTAGGAATCATTTAGATATTTCAAATACAAGCATTTGCACAATATAAAACATGACTGTTAAAATGTACGTACTTTTACTTGAGTTGTAAAAAAAATATTGGCTGCAAAATATACCTTTGTAAAGTCTTTATAGAGTGGTGTAGGAATGAGTCCTAAAACCCGGAAATTAATACGCTTTTTACCACTTCCTTTCCTCTTGTTCCGAAGTCAATGTTTTTTTTTGAGCGTTTTTTGTTGAATGCCTGAAGTAAGGTCAGTAGTTCCAACAAGCTTAAGAGATTTTCACGTTTTGTTCAATGACATCAAATAGGTCAGTAAGTAAATACCCCACTTGTGAATGTCGCAGCTTCTTGCACTTTGACCTCGGTTACCTTTTCCCTTTATAAACCACTCTCCACTGAATGACCTCCACAGAGCCACTGCCAGCTCCTGAGTGCCGGGTGGGACGCCCCTCATTCGGAGCAGTAGTTCATATATTGGGCCCCACTCAGGCCAGCAGAGTGCCGTCAGCTGGGGGCTCCACCGCCTCCAGAAACACTCTGTCATCACCTTCATATAGCGCTTACTGCAAACCATATGCCTCCACAGCAGCGCGGCGCGTAGCCGTAGGAACACAGCAGCAGTTTATGTGTTGGCATTCCTGATGTGCTGTCATGAGAGGGTAGTAAGTAGCTGTTGAATATTTGGGAGGTGATTGACCTGCTTAGTTTTTAAAGGCAGGTCTGTTGGCCATCAGTCTGAGTATGAACCAAAGTTATGTTTCGATTAGCTAATATCAAAAGTGCTACATTAATTCATTAAATCGGGGGACTTTTTCAATTTCACAGTAAACATTGAAGTGTCTGAACAGAAACAAGACATGGTGTTTGCTGCTCCTGGGTGACCTATTCACCATCATCTCACAAAGGCAAGCAATACGCACATTCCATATCTTTATTGTTACTACTGGCCTGGCCCTGTACCAAGGTAACACAATCCTCTACAGCGCAATATACATACAACCTGTTTTCATTGTTGCATGGTTCAAATAAACATTCATTCTGTGTTGATTAATAAGCTTGTGCTGCTTTTTTAAATAATAAACCTTATGTTCATTCATTTCATGATAGATTTTGAATCTGCACGTTCAAGTTGAATCTCCAATTGTGTTTTTAGATTGTTGGATCAAATGAAACACATAAATAAAAAGGCATGAACAAACCTTTATTTGTAACACTCTGATGTGGAAACCCCCCCTGACTGTGACTTGTCATTTTAGTATTTATCTTTCCTCAAAAATCATGAATCTAAACACCATTGTGTGTGTGTGTGTGTGTGTGTGTGTGTGTGTGTGTGTGTGTGTGTGTGTGTGTGTGTGTGTGTGTGTGTGTGTGTGTGTGTGTGTGTGTGTGTGTGTGTGTGTGTGTGTGTGGTTACATTTGAGTGCATCTTCTGCTGTTTGTTGACTTAAGGTCATAATATGTGGTATTTGGACGATTACATGTGGGGAGCGCGAGTTTCCACAGCCTGGGATGTGTCTTCTTCTTCTACTTCTTAAACTTTTACTACTTCTGCTTCTGATCCTTCTTTTCCTCATCCTTCTTCTTCTTCTTCTTCTTGTCAGATGATGTGGTCAGCGGGCCGACATGTAGCTCCTGCGTTGATTGGGACGTCACCATTTTTGCAGCATTTTATACAGAAATGATTGAGACTGTCGAGAAAGGATTGGATGTTTTAATATATCCCTCCCTCTCTGTGTGTCCTGCAGGGTGTCGGGTCCCCTCCTGTCTCCAGGGATGAAAGCAACAGGGACGCCTCCTCCTCCTCTGGAGAAACAGCACCTCCACCCTCACCACAAGCCCTACTCTCACTATCACCACCAACAGCCTGCCAACGACGGTAAGACCGAGACATCTGTCTGAAAGGAACCTGTTTCAGGAAATATATTTTGGCTTCGATGCGAAAATATTCACTGCCGTTTCAATTTAATATCCTGAAATGTTCCCCTGTTACATCGCTCTTATATAACTTCCTTAGTGTCAGATCACTTGGATATACATGAGAACACCCCTGTGTCCTTTTTCAAACACTCGCTGCAGCCACATGAAAGTCCTGAGGAGAGGAAGTTGTCTCTCGCTGCTCCGTCTGAGTGTTTTCAGGACAGAGGGAGATTACAGTCGTAGAGACAGAGTGGGGGAAACCACACGCCGGAAGCCTTTTCCCCCGAGCTGAATTAGCCAACAAAACGCTGGCTCATGTCTTCAGCTGTCTCTCAGCGCCCCAACATGGCCGACTCAGCTGCCACTCCAGAGCCTTTTTCCTAATGCCTTAAACACTGTTTTCCCTGTAAAGATCTACACATGGACGTCTCTGAAACCACACTGCGGTCCCAGAGTTGCGTAAAAGCGCTCCAGTCAGAGCTGCCTCCCCATTATGGAGCCTCCTGCGGTCCTCTCGGAGACGATGGGACTTACTATGGGCTGGCGCTGCGAGCAGGAGCACAAATATAGCATTGTCATAATTTGAGATCAACGTTTAGTTTCATCCAGATGGAGCGGATGCTGACTGATTATAGAAAAGCATCGCCCGCTGGTGGCAGCCCGTCAGCTCTGAGTCCTGTTTCACTCCCAGGGTCCCTGTGGAGGCTTTAAATGGCTCAAATGTAGTTTTTGATATTCAAGGTCTGAAAATGTCTGGAATTGTAGGAAGTCAGGCAATTCATCTGGACTATTTAGTGAAAAGTAAATATTTGTTATGACGTCATATACTATATATATTATTTATAAAAATATATTTTTCAAAACATTAAATTATATATTATTAGACATTCTATACCAGTTTTCATAGTAATAAGATTTTGAAACATAATATTCTCTTATTAATAATAGTATTATTATTATTAAAGTTTTTTTTACTTATTTATGCTTTTATTATGACTTACTATATTATCACATTTGATCACATTGATATACTATGACTTTGTTAGATGTGCTATACTTTGGTTTTTAATGACTTTTAATATTTTTGAGACATTTATGGGACACGCTGTCTTTTTTTTCAAGGCATAGCCGCTTCATGAATTTGACAATTTTGAGACGTACTTCTTTGAGACTTTTTAAAAGACAGAATATTTGATTATTCAACATTTTAATGGAATTTCTTATGCCATACATTACAACTTTAAATGTATTTTATAATCATGCTCTTATGAAGTCGACTTGTTTGCATGTTTAATGGACTTGGCCACAATAAGTGGTTGGAATTGAGATTTGTCTTGTTTTTACCACCTTAGTGCGTTTAGGTATTCATTGCTAATTTATTATACTAAGACTTATCTATATGTTATACTTTACTTTGCTTTTTTTGAAGTCATCCTACTGTATGACTTGTTTTTGGTTGCATTCTTATGTCAAACTATGACTTTGATTACATTCTTGTGACAGAAAGTGAGGTTTTCAATGTGCCACATCTCATTTCCTAGAATACCAGGGCAGCTTTCAGAGCTGCTTCCATTTCGGGGACTCGTACAGAATGGAGCAGACGGTCGGGGGCGTCCACGTCCCCGCAGACTCTCAAAACTACAACTCCCATCAGCACAACGGCTTCCACATGAACACCAGCAACACCGGCACTGCAGGTCAGGACAATGTACCCTTCACCCCTACCCACAAAGATCGCCTGAATACTTTTCATACAAATGTTAAACTACTCTTAAATCTCCTTTCTTCAGGCTTCAACCTGACCCAGGAGCTCCAGGGCGGCGCAGGATGTCAGTTCTCCTCCAGCCCCGAGGAAAACATTTTCTTCCAGGTGGGAAACTTCGACCGCAGCCTGAGCCACATGTCCTCCGTCTACTCAGAGACTTAGAGCAACACTGGAGCAGAAACGCTTCGTCCTCACAGCTGGATCCCTCTTCTCTACTTCCCGTTTCCTCTTTTTTGAAACATACTAAGATATGGGGTCACTCTGAATATCTAAACCTTGATCTATCCTACGCTGCAGATGGATGTGTAACCAGCAGGATGTCATTAACTTCTCACCTGAAGTAATTAAATGATGAAAAATGGCTCAAAATAGTTTCCCTTCCTTTGTGATTTGTGACCCTTTAAACAAGGATGTCATGTCACAGGTTGCATATTCCTTCCAGTTGTGACGAGTTTAACCAAACAATAGTTTCCTTGTCCTAAGTGAATCATTTTAGAATGACAGATTCTCCAGTAATTCATATATTTTACCAAACAAAGATCAGCGTGTTGCTCTTCCAATGTATGAATGAAAAGTCAAAGAAGTAACTCAGAGCTGTCCTTTTATTAGCAAAGTCAAAGAAGCTTAAAAATCAAGATGTAAAAACATTAATATGTGCCCTTCAGTCGATTAAAGAATCAAAAATGCTTTATTTCTTAGATTCTTAAAGCACATCTAGAACTCATGTACACAAGCAGGTTTTTCAGCGTAATTATATCAACTTCAAACACAACAAAGCGACTGAAGGAAACATCCTCTCCCTCCTCTTCATGTGTTTGCTCTCTAATCTACATCCTTCAATCTGTCTCAGACTGAAGTGTACATTAGAATATATATAAATGTTGCCGTGTTTTAAGCAGTGGAAAAAAAACTTGTTTGTATTTTGTCGTTAAGTGTTTTGCTTTTTTTGATTTATCTCTGCAGGAGGGTTTGAACTTATTAAATCTGCAATAATGCAGAAGAAAACCCACCTACTTTATTATTATTATATGTATAAAATGTACAGTTTGTTTACAGCAATCATTTGAATGTTTGTCATTTCTCAATTTAAGGAATAAATAATTGAATGATCCCGTGACATTTATCTTTTTTAACATATAATGGACAATATCAAAAACAAAAATCTCAAACCACATTTAGTTGTACACGTCTGTTAAATATACAATGTTCAAATCTGACCTTTGATAACGAGCACCATGACAAAAACACTCAGACTGTGGGCGTGTTGTTCCCTCTAGTGGACGCTAGTGAGTACTGCAGGCAGGAAAACATCCCTCAAGCTGACAATACATTGTCAGCTGCTCTCATGAAGCCTCAGTGTGTCTTACACTTCTTATTTCTGCTTCCTCTTGTTATGATAGCTCTGATAATAGAAATTAAGGAAGAGGATCATGAGGGAGACACAGTAGACGAATACCAACGCGTTCATCGAGTCGGGGAAGTCGCAGTCTGCAAACAGGTTGTAGCCCGAGTGCAGGAGGAACAGCACAAACTGCACCTGTAAGTGGGGTAAAGTTCAGATCGGATTGGCTCACAAACATATCGTCAGAGCAGTCACATTCCTCTCATTCAGATCAGAGATTACTCACGAGCTGCAGAGACGTCAGGTATTTCTTCCACCACAGGTACTTCTGCATGTGAGGGCCGATGGCAGCCAGGCCGTAGTAAGAGTACATCACCACGTGGACAAAGGTGTTCAGCAGGCCAATGAAGAACGCTGCGGGGAATAAAAACATGTAGCGAAAGGAAAGCTTAAGTCAGGGAATCCCCAAACAGAGAGGCCTGGAGGTATAACAGTTAAAAGGACAACAGGAAGTCTACACCTCCTCTGCTGCAGACTGAAGACCAGTGTTGGAAGAAGAACTCAAATCCTTTACTAAAAGTGGTGCTTTTTGGGGTTTCCCCTCCCCTGTAGTGTTTTGTATAGGATCCATGTAAATGATCTGCAAAGGCTAACATCCAGAAGTTCCCTCAAGAGTGAGTTTCTCTCCCACTTCCACCTGCTTTAAACTCCTCCATTTTTTTACTTCAGGAACATAGTGACATCAATTTGTAACACTCGCACATCTATTGGCTGGCGCTCCAACACATTGTACGTGATAGAGGTTGACCAATCACAACAGAGCTGGCCAGCTAACCAATCAGAGCAGACCGGGCTCTGGTTTCAGACAGAAGGGGAAAAGAGGCAGTATTAGAAAAATAAAGAGCTTTTTGAACATTAAAGCATGGAAACATGTCCCAGGAGAGACACTAAATACAAATATGAACCTAAACATGAGTATAATACGGCCCCTTTAACATACCCTGCATGTTTCTTGCTGTTTGTATTTTTATGGTTACTTGCAATTGTTATAAGTCCCTTTGGCTTAATAAAATGTAACCGTCATTTTTTGCAAAGAAAATGATCAGGTTTTTGTTTATTCCCAGGTGGTTGGTAAAAGGTAAAGGCAACCATTAGAACATCTGTTGAAGGATTACATGTTGCCACTTATAATAACTCTAAATATTGTTCCTTATTTATTTAGTTTTTGTATAAGAACACACTGAAATTGCAAGTAATCCAACATTTGTCTTATTAATTCTAAGGACATGTCTGAATGTGTTTTATGATGGTACATGTACTGTAAGTGAGTTTGAAAATATGTGTATCTATAAAAGCTGTGCCCTGAAATAAAGGATTGGCAAACACATGTATGAGATCTGTGAGTGAATTAAGAATCCACCGGCACAAGTTTTAACATGTGAGGAAACAGCGTTATGTTGCACCTTTCTTTCTAACCAAAGAACCAAGAACCTTTGTTAGAGTTACATTTGGCTCAAGAGTATCCTTCAGTCCCATTGTTAACACAATGTAACTAACTAGTTAATGAGACACATCTATGCAAGGGATCAGATAGCATTTGAACACTGGGATGGATGGAACACAAATTATCTTAAAAAGGAACTAGAGAAATAACTTTGTTCCTTTATATTCATAAAAAAAAGGTATTTTTTGTCTCCTTTTGTTCATTTCCATTTTATACAATATTATAAACGCATTACAAATCTATTTTAAATCATCCATTATGAATTTGCCTCAGGGGGCTTTAAATACACATCATGGACACCCTCAGATCCTCGCAGTGAAAGGAAAACCTCCTTCCACACCACAAAAGAAACACACCTCTCCCTCCTTCCGTCTTAATCTCCTGGGTTAAACCTGAATGACTGATTTCTTTGTAAATAAGGAATAATTATATATGCATCAGCATTCCTTATTGAAGTGTAACGCTGAGGGAGTTCCCGTCGACAAAACCCATAGTTTGAGGTGTATTGCTATTGTTGGTAGTAATTTTATTTTTTATAAATCCCATAAAAAGACCAGAATCATGTCTTTATATGTCTGTTAGATTGCATGTATATCGTTTCTAGATAATTTATGGATTCAACATATAGTAACTGTGGTTTTTGGCCTTTGTTTCTCAATCATGAGTGGAAAAATGTATTTGTTGGTGACAATTGTTCAGTTTTTTTAAATGTAATATAATGTCTATGTAGGACAAAGTTCCTCAGTAACAGTAATCTTGTTCATTTTAATAATGAGCACAACCCTCAGAATATTTTGCCAATTTCTGTTCAAAGCTATCTCTTATTTGATTTTTTTATCTGCACAGCTCTCCACTTTTAAATTATATTTTTTGTCATATTTTTACTGTACTTAATATTTGGTAATTTACATGTTGTAAACATATTCTCTTTATCTTTACAATAGTCTTTAAATTGTACTACTTGTTGCTGCTTTCTACAACGTATTCCTCTTTCTGTGTCCATGTAGACACTTTTTGAACTGATGGCTATTGTAAGAAATGTAAGAAGCGTTTTCTTACACCACAGCAAATTCTTAGTATGTGTAAACCTACTTGGCAATAAACCTGTTTCTGATTCTGGGGATGAGCTTCCAACAATTTCTAGTACAACAGCGTAGAACAAAGAATTTAAATACTCTGAGTAAGAGCCCAGCCTCGTGTTGGCTAACCCTGTAGAGCAGATAACAAAGGAATGTGAAGGTGAAGTCATAGTTAGGTATGTCACAGTCATAACATATGACGTGCAAACGCATCATAAAAAAAGGTCACAATTTAGTAGGTCACAAAAAGTTCTAAAAAAAATAAATTGTGTAGTATATTGAAAAAAACCTTAAAAAAATGATAAAGAATAAATAAATATTACATTAAAAAGTCAGTGTGTAAAAAAACATTTGAAAAATCCCTTGAAATGTTAAAAAGCAAACAAAAAACCTATCTTTTAATATGGCTTTTCATTTGGGTTAACCTTCAATTCTCTCTATTATCACTTTCCATGTTTTACTGTATTTGTTCTGTTTTGCTTTTTAAATTGTTTTATTTTAACATATTATCACTGTAGACATTTTATCTTGTTGTGTATTAATGTTAATATTATTTGAATATTGTTGTTATGTTTTCTGTAAAGCACTTTGGGCTGCTTTGTGCATGAAAGGTGCAAAACATATAATTATTATAATAAAAATTCCGGTGCATCGGAAAAGGTCATTTTTTATATAAAACGTAATACTAAAGTATGCCATAGAAAATGCTTATTTAAAAATGTAATAGTATAGTGTGTCACAAATGTAATTAATTCTTAAAAAGTTATGAATCTAATATAAAAAATGTATTCAAAAGCCTTCGTTCAGTAAGTCATAAAAATGTAATATCACTCACCACCTTCAAAGCCCTAAACAACCCGGCCCCTCCCTAACTCTCTGACCTCATCCACCTCAGATGCAAACGCCCTAAAGACCCCAGGACTAAGCTCTGGACCCGGGGTGCATCGTCCCTCTGGAACCCCCTCCTGATACACATCAGACCATCAACCACCCTATCATCCTCCAAACAAGCCCTCAAAAACACACTTCTTCAAACTCGATTTTTCCTCAGAAGTATTGCATTCAAAATTATAAAAAAGTCACAGTGTTGTTTGTTGTTAAAAAAAATAAAATCATAGTATATACAGAAGTACTGATTTTAGTATGTCGGGAAAAAAAGTCATAATAAATAGTATTTAACAAAAATATAATAAAAAATGTCACAGTATAGTATGTAGTAAAAGATCATAGTATACAGTGTTTAATAAAACACATAGGTAAATTGTCACAGTATGTTACGCAGTGAAAATGTCAAAGTATAGGATATAGATTTTCAATATGGTCCGTCAGTTTTAGTTGGAGCCATCTCAGCTGTTTAGTCTCATGCAGGCAGACGGCCCGTCACAGTCTCTCAGCGTGGTCTTAGTTTGACCCTGAGAGTGGATTTGGCCTGAAACCGGACAGAGCTGACACACTGTCAGAGGGCATGGAGTAAATGGACTGTACTTATATAGCGCTTTATCCAGTCTTTAAGACCCCTCAAAGCGCTTTACATACTACATGTCATTCACCCATTCACACCCATTCATACAGAGCAGTGTACCTTACTCTAGGACCTAACATTCACACACATTCACACACCGTTGGCCATGCCATCGGGAGCAACTCAGGGTTAAGTATCTTGCCCAAGGATACATCAACATGTTGACTGCAGGGGCTGGGATCGAACCCACAACCTTCTGGTTGAAAGACGACCACACTAGGGAGTGTGGTCGTCTTTCAACCAGAAGGTTGTGGGTTCGATCCCAGCCCCTGCAGTCAACATGTTGATGTATCCTTGGGCAAGATACTTAACCCTGAGTTGCNTGTGTGTGTGTGTGTGTGTGTGTGTGTGTGTGTGTGTGTGTGTGTGTGTGTGTGTGTGTGTGGAGCGCAGGAAGTGGATGTTCTTTAGCGATACCTTGCGGCTTCTGTCATGAATCGCGTGAGCAATTACTGTAAAACGCCAGCGCTAAGCCGAGAGACAGGTTGGAGCTGCCATTCTAAGTGTGGACCCTGAGTGTGTGTGTGTGTGTGTGTGTGTGTGTGTGTGTGTGTGTGTGTGTGTGTGTGTGTGTGTGTGTGTGTGTGTGTGTGTGTGTGTGTGTGTGTGTGTGTGTGAGAGATGTGTCAGATGTCTCCAAAGTTGTGTTGAAAGGATTAATGATATCATGCAAATATAATTTAGCCTTCAGAGATTAAAAGGTTCTTAATAATGTGAAATGGCATGTGTCAGTGTGTGTGTGTGTGTGTGTGTGTGTGTGTGTGTGTGTGTGTGTGTATGTGTTTGTGTGTGTGTGTATGTGTGTGTGTGTGTATGTGTATGTGTGTGTGTGTGTGTGTGTTGTGTGTGTGTGTGTGTGTGTGTGTGTGTGTGTGTGTGTGTGTGTGTATGTGTGTGTGTGTGTGTGTGTGTGTGTGTGTGTGTGTGTGTGTGTGTGTGTGTGTGTGTGTGTGTGTGTGTGTGTGTGTGTGTGTGTGTGTGTGTGTGTGTGTGACAGGTTTGCTGGCAGGTTTATGGGAGTTTCCAAATCTCCTGCTGGAGGAGAAGAGCTCTGATCTGAAACAGAGGAGGGCGCTGTGTGCTCAGATCAGCGGGAAACTAGGAACCCATCTGACAGAAAACATGTTCCAGTATGTGGGAGAGGTACGCCTGAAGTTCACCACTTATACATATTTATTCTTGAATGCAAATAAAGTATTTCCGCAGCTCTGTAACCACCCTCTGACGGATCATTGGCTGTCTGCAGGTGGTTCACATCTTCTCCCACATCCACCAGACATACGTGGTCCACAGTGTGTGTTTGAAGGATGCTGACACACACACTGAAAACGCTCAGTGGCTCAGCCGGTCCGCCCTGCAGGAAGCTGCTGTGTCCACAGGAGTGAAAAAGGTTTGTAATTTGTTTACACAGTTTGTGTTCAGCCCCACTGTGTAACTGATAGATTACAGAAAACATGTTTTTCTGGTGTGTAAATTGTTTTTCTGTTACAAGGATTTCAGTGATTTTAACTGAAATGTTCCCCCGATATCATGCTGCTATTTGGAGCTCAAAATGGTGGAATGAGCTCCCCATTGACATCAGGACAGCAGAAAGCTTACACATCTTCCGGCGCAGACTGAAAACTCATCTCTTTCGACTCCACTTCGAGCGATAGAATTACTAACAGAGCACTTATATACTAATAAAGGACTGGCTTATCTGAAGCCAGCTGAGTAGCACTTGAAATGTTTTGACTCTATGAAACCTGATGTACTTATATGATTCTGTTTTCTTCAAAGTTTGTATCTTCTTGGTCGAATGCACTTATTGTAATTCACTTTGGATTAAAGCATCAGCTAAATGTAATGTAATGTAATGTGATTATTACAGTGAGTTTCGGAAATGTAAAGGGAAGTTGTAGTTGTTGCGTTTGTTTCAGGAAGTTGTCACGGCATGTGCACAATAAATAGGATAAACATCAACGTTTACTCTCCTGCAGATTGTGAAGCTTTATGATTCTGTGGACGGTCAAAAAGAACAAAACTCTGAGGTAAGTAAACGTCTGTATATATAATTTATCACAAATGATCTTATTCTATAATCCTAAATTCCACCTTTATCGTTTTGTTTCTACTGGTCTCACTCAGGAAGGGAAGAGGCAGAGGCACACGGGCACAAAGAATGACAAGAAACCAAATCCCTCCAAAAAAGCCAAAGTGAGCTCAGCTACCAGCGGGGGCAGACAGCTCTCTCTCAGCTCCTTCTTCAACAAGGTCAAAGACGAGCCTTGAGAAGTTTGAGTGTCAAAGTCCTCCATGGTGCCTTATCAGGAAACGTGCCTTTGTAATGTCAACGCATCAGCACTACAGTGTGTTGCCATATTGGTTTCATCGTGGTCCTATCACTGGGATTGAAATACAACATGCCATCATGTTTTTTAAACTTTAAAAGGTTTATGTTCCTGAAGGGACTTTATTTGTATCGACTTCATTATAGATAATGTTTTTATCAGTATATTGTGAATAGTCCTCGTGTTTTTCCAATAGTATGTAAGTTCACTGTCATGTTTATTATTGCAATAAAAAAGATTTCATGTCCAACAAAGGTACATAAACTGTTCATCTTCTGATTGCTTTTATATTTTTGTCATTGATAAAATAAATCTGTTCTCTTTTGTTATAATGATGCATTTCTTTTTATAGAAGAATGTCCATATCTACATTAATCATTTGATGGACAAGAGTGATTTTTTTTTTAAATCAGCAATTATGCAATTCTGAATACTAATCCAATCATATTATTCTGCATAATGAGTACTTTCACATTACGAACTCATGGTATATATTTGATGGTAATACTTGCATACTCTTACTTGAGTATCTTGTAAATCAGTATTTCTTCGGTGAAGTCTTGGTTCTTCTACTTGAGTAAATGATCTGAGTACTTCTTCCATCATTTTATATACAAATAAAAAGTTAATAAATAATTTAATAAATAAAAAGTCACAGTGTAGTATGTCGTCAACATTCAGAGTCAAAAAGTAATAAAAAAAAATAGTAAAGTATGTCATAAAGGGTAATAGTAAAGTTTATCATAAAAACACATTGTAAAAGATTCATCGTATAGCCTGTCAGTAAAAAAGTGTCATAGTATTGTATTCTATACAAAACGTAATACTAAAGGTCATTCATAAGTAGGGGAGAGTGGGGTAAGTTGAGCCATTTTTTTAGTTATGCTGTCCTCTAAGCAAGGAGAAATGACACATAGTCAAATGAAAGCACACACCTATAATTCAGGATGTCTCCTATCAATGGCAATGATAATAATTCATATTTGATCAAGGGCAGTGAAAATATTACTTCTAAAAAAAGAAGTGGACTTGTGGCTCAGCTTGCCCCGGGTTAGGGGTAAGTTGATCCAGGTCAGGGGGTAAATTGAACCACTGTTCCAACCTGGGCATACCTACAACAAATCTTAAAGGTAACTATAAACAATAAATTACAAACCAAATACAAGTTTAGTTTTTCAAATATTTTTGATATAAATTTCGATTGAATTGATTGATTTTTTTTTAACATGTTAAAAGGAAAAGTAATCATACAAATGGTGATACAATTTCATACATCTTACCAATCAAACACAGTGTAAATTCAACTTTAAATGTAGCCTACAATTAGCTCTTATTATCCACTTGGCCTACTTTCATTCATTTCTCCATTGAAAAACTGGCTTACCCCAAGGCCCATGGTTCACTTCACCCCATAGCCACCATTTTAGAAAAAATAGCCTAGTCACCTTTAGCTTTCACATGGTTTAATACGCTGCCAACACATCAACATATACAATATATGTGTTTAAACCTGGATATTTTTTTTGGCATGACAACATCTAGAAAATGTACTTTGACAAGCAAAAAACGTTTTTTTGTACAAATGTTTACTTACCAGATCACAATGAGCATCTCTCTTTCACAGGCAATGAGAAATGGGAGGAGCTTGCATAATTTCTGATCACGTGATTACAACTATAAGGCGTTGCCTGGTTACAGGGGGTGGTTCAATTGACCCACTGGCTTAATTTACCCCCTTCTCCCCTATGTCGTAGTAAAGTATAACATAAAAAGTGCTTTAAAAAAGTGCTTATAGTTCATGAAAAACGTTTGTTTTTCACCAGACAATAATAATGCTTCTACTACTACTTATAATAATAATGATTAGATGAAATAATAATAAAAGCCATGAAAGGTAACAGCGCCCCCTGCTGTGCTGATGGTGTAACAACCGAGTGTTTTTGTGGGGGGGAATCATGATAAATGAGGAAAAACCGGAAGTGGTTCAAGTCTTGCCAGCACTTTTCTCCGCCGTCTTTTACAGTTTAATTGATTGTGTTGTTGTGATTTGTATTTTCCTGATGTGTATTGGAGTCTCCTCAGCAGAGGTGTGTGTGGAGCTCCGTCTGTCACTCATTCATCGCAGGTCATCGGGTCTTCAGGCTAAACTTTGCTAACACTCACCGGCAGACAGCGGCCAAAGGTTCTGCAACGTGCTCCCTGAAGTTTCATATTGAAAAACTGCGAGGTGTGCAGCAGGGAGCTTTACCGTTATATGTTACCGATGTTATAGTCTTATTTTTATCATTAACTTTTGTTATGTTCCAGATGGCTTCTGCATGGCAAAGTGCCCTGTCCCTGCACCAGAGCATAGTAGACAATGGAGGTATGAGGATTTGTGTTATTATCTAAAAGCTACAGTTAATGTGTCTCTGGGTTTCCAGCAAACGAAAAATAATTTCTCTAAGTTGTCGAAGAGATTCCCAGTTTACACAGCAAGGCTGTCTCTATACGTGCGTGCGTGTGCGTGTGCGTGTGTGTGTGTGTGTTGCAGATGCTCAGCTTGTCTTCACAATGACTTCTTTGTGGCATGTTACATGACAATCCCACTCCGACTTATTAAACGTTGTTAGCTTGTAACTCCTGTATGTTGTGGACATACAGGAATAGGATTGACAGGAAATATAATGTATTGTCAGATGAATACTCCCTCTAATTTTCCTCAATTGCTCACTTATAAATGTGTCCCTTTGAAAAGGATATTCACACAACAGGTTCTCTGTGCTAAATTCAAACAAGACAAACCTGTTTAAAGCTGGCTTTCCTGTACAGATTAAAGGGCCCCCATTATGCTAGGTCAGGTTCATGTTTGTAATTGTGTGCCTCTATTGTGACTTGTTGATGTTCTGTATGTCCTCTTTTCACATTATGTCTGCTTAGAGATGTCACGCCCCTTAGTTTATCATGTAGAATATATTTGAGTACTAGAAAATAGAAGCATGGGTGTTACATAGTGATGTCATTATTTCCCAGAAGTAAACAAAGGAGTCCAATGGAAGCGTTCCAGACGGGGAGTGTGTAGGAGGGAAACTCCCTCTGGAGGGAACTTAGAGATATTAACCTTTGCAGACCATTTACATGCACACAGATATTATAACACTCTACAGGAAAGGAAAACAATCCCGAAAAGCATTATAGGGCTTCTTTATTTATTTGCTAAATGGTCCTTTCTTGTGTTTTAGACAAGAGGACAGACCCGTGGCTGCTGGTCTACTCCCCGGTCCCCGTGGTCATCATCTTCCTGCTGTACCTGTGTGTGGTGTGGGCCGGCCCTCGTCTAATGAAACACAGAGAGCCCCTCGACCTCAAAGGCATCCTCATCGTCTACAACTTCTCCATGGTCGGCCTGTCAGGATACATGTTCTATGAGGTGTGTTTAGGTCAATCATGAGCACAGTGGTGATGGAAAATACATTTCTGTTCTTTGATATAAAGGGTGATCCTGCTAGTGTTTAATGTGAAGTTATAGTATGAATATTTCCCAGTTCCTGGTCACATCCTGGCTCTCGAACTACAGCTACCTCTGCCAGCCGGTAGATTACAGCAACAGCCCTCTGGCAGTGAGGGTAAGGAATTCACTCACTTTAATGCGTACGCAGACGTTTAATCTTTCAAAAGCTACATATGGAACATCATTTACAGAAACCAAATTCTACTAGACAGCTGGCTTTTGTTCAATTTGAAAGATAAAACATACATTTACCTTTTTCTCAAAGTTAAAGATATGCAAATCACACCTTTCTCCATTGTTTCCTTCGTCCAGATGGCCAAAGCCTGCTGGTGGTTCTTCTTCTCTAAGGTCATAGAGCTCAGTGACACGGTGGGTATTAAAAAAGGGAAGAAGTTTCTGCTATCAATTCAGAAGTCAGAGTTGAAATGATGAAACTTCTAATCTCTGTGAGCAGCTCTTCTTCATCCTGAGGAAGAAGAACAGCCAGCTGACCTTCCTCCACATTTACCACCACGCTACCATGGTCTCCAACTGGTGGTCCGGAGTCAAGTATTTGGCTGGAGGACAATGTAAGTCAACAGCTGTAAATACATATATAAACAGATATTTGTATGACTTGATGAAGGGACATTTGAAAGAGCAGTAGTGATATTCTATATTGTTATTATACAATTCTAATGAAAAGATAAAAACTTAACAAGCATTAAATGTGTAATGAAGCCAAATCCTGTTATATCTTATTCTACTTTTTTGTGTATAACAACACATACATGAGCCATCCTGTTGCCCTGGGTGACATATTCCTGTATAAGCATTGTAGTCTACTTTGAATTAATCCAACATTACCGGTAACGGATAGACGTAAATGTGTATTATTCCACAGGCAATCAGGAAATATTTAACAACAAATAATTTCTCTGTGACTCCTGAAGATTATTATTGATGTTCTAGTAGTCTAATGCTGTCGGTCTATTGTATAGATGATTTTACCATGGTGTGTATTAAAAGCTCAATTAATGGAGCCGATTACTGAAAGCAATATAGAGACACAATAAGTATAATGATACAGGGGTTACGGTTCAACATATTGCAATAAACTGCAATACTGCAAGCACATTTAAAAAATAAAATAATCTGAAGTACAATCTGAGTAAAACACTATTATAAATTCATAACAGGTGCCACAGATGCTGTAACATCCAACATCCTATCATACTGCATATTTCTTTCTGCAATCTAAGCCACTGTCTGCTACATGTCTTTGCATCCAAACCGTTAATGAACTTTTAAAAAACTTTTTTTTGATCCATGAGGTATCTCAAAACATGATACGAAAATGAATTTATATTTACTTACATCCCTCACACTGTCTAATGCTCTATACATAAACGGTTGAACTGATAAACTCTGTAACCTTTTTATCTTATTGCATCTTTCTATGCGTGTCAGCTGCCTGTCATAAACATTCTTAACATACAGTACCTAACTCAATTGCTATCAGTCGGATCATTTCGCTATACGTTTGAAACATTTTTACTGACTAAAATAAATGAATGAAACCCATTTCTCACTGTCCGCTCTGAATGCATCCTCAGCGTTCTTCATCGGCCTGGTCAACACCTTCGTCCACGTGGTGATGTACTCTTACTACGGCCTGGCTGCCATCGGCCCTCACATGCAGAAGTACCTGTGGTGGAAGAGATACCTGACGTCTCTGCAGCTCGTGAGTAATCTCTGATCTGAATCAGAGGAATGTGACTGTTTGTGAATGTGATCTGATCTGAACTTTTCCCCTCCAACAGGTGCAGTTCGTGCTGTTCCTCCTGCACACCGGCTACAACCTGTTTGCAGACTGCGACTTCCCCGACGCCATGAACATGGTGGTGTTCGGCTACTGTGTCACCCTCATCATCCTCTTCAGTAACTTCTATTATCAGAGCTACCTCAGCAAGAAGAAGCAGAAATAAGACTCAGTGGTGAGGTATTGTAAGGATGTTTTTCCTGTGTGTGCAATACTCACTTATTTCCACTAGACAGAACAACATACTGACTTTTTTCTCATGGTGCTCACAATTGTATTTCTTTATATTGAGAAATGACTGATATTGAAATGATTGCTCCAAACTAAATATACACTTGAAAATACAGTAGGTTGGTTGAAGAAGTAAAGAGAGATGGATAGTTAAGCTATACGGTCACACTTGATCGTTTACTTTATACCGACATGTTCAACTAATGTGAAGTATTAGTGCATTTTGTATGTGTTTTCTATAAATGTTCAACAGTGTGAAGTCAAGTATATGGCTAGACCTGTTTAATTTACTCCATTTTGGGCCAGTGTTTACAGTGGAGGTCAGTGAATGTGTCTATAGCTTTAATTCCTGCATTTTGAATGTTTTCTGTAACGGTCCCAGTTCTGTTCTGCTCTCAATGTGTACTGAGGTGTCATGTGACATGGTTAAGCTGCATTTGAGGCAAATAATGGGGGACTGCTCTATTGTAATAAATTCAACAATATAACATTGCTATTTTAACATTTATTTTTTCTTGGTTACTCATAAGTTGTTTTATGCTAATTCAGTCACTAAAAACACCTTGGTGAGGCAGTGGTTTGTATTACTTTGTTAAACCCGGCTGCATCCCATTAAGATTATGAGCAAAAAGCATCAAATGTAGGTCTAAAGGAAAACATTGTTTTTCTCGAGTAATGCTATTGCTTATAATATATTTTTTGGGTCACTTTGCAACATCTGAAAAGAGACTACAGATCATAAAAGGCCTCTTGGCTAACCGGCGCAATTGAAGCATTTTTTTAATGTGCACTGTACCTGTCGACTAAAATAATAAATAAACACAATTCTAACGGCCTTTTCTTATATTAAATATTTATTTTATTTTATTTAAGAAGGGACCATGCACATTACGTACATGAGCGCTCGAGTCCATGATGTGAATGTGCCAGATTTAGTCAAACAGGCTAATTTTCATATGCAGTCTCTGGCAGGTTGATGGCATTAAAAGAAACATTCAAGAGCACACAAGCATGAGCAGGAATAAAACACTCGAGCACAATTGACTCACGATTGCACTACATACAAAGCACATATGCCTGATTATAACTTCACAAGCATTTGGAGAGCAAGACACTTAACCAGGTTAATAAGTAACTGCAATATTCTTAGATAAAACATACACTTGACATCTTTACTGGTAAATTCTCCTCTGCTCTGATTCTCTCTCTCTCTCTCTCTCTCTCTCTCTCGGTCACACACTAAGCTTTATAAGAAATGCATCACATGTATCAACAACCTAAAAAATAGGATTTCAACTGCATGTTTGAAATACATTTACAGGAAAATATGAATCAAGAGAAATATAACTGACACCATAAATGTGATATTTCAGATCTCCTCCTGATTAAAGATTAACAAACTCTGCAATGATAACTGCGTGTTGATTGAGGAAGTAGATCAGAGCTGAAATATGTCCACAAAAGTCATGTGATTACTTTTAAATTTGCCTTTATTGAGCAATGACAAACTTTGAAATGACTGCTGTAAATAACTGTACAAAGAATAATGCAGTAGGCTGGATTCTTCACATTATTGCAGAGTTGAGGAGTTCAAACCAGAAAAGAGATTCCTCCTAAACAACGGAATGCAGAAATGCAAAGACTTTCTTTTCCAAAGCTATAACAAGATTGCATTGCAAGATTATTTTATACATTTCAGTTGCGTGATTTTAAATGTCGCCCGCCTCCTCCCCATCCACCTCCTTTCATCATATCCAATGCCAGGAGAGTTAATCCAAAGACCTCATCCCATCTCCTCATCAAATCCAGATCTTCAGCATCATCACCAGTGTCTAGAGCCCGGGGGGGTTCCCTATATGCTCACGGCTGCATTTCCCCCTTTACATACGATTTCAGGATCGGGGTCTAATCGTCGAAGACAAAGACATTTATCAGAGAGACAAGAGGAGAGCTGGAGCTTTGATGGCAAACACTAACGGTATATTTGGAGCTTCGGCCTCTCTGACAGAGAGTTGCCCGGTCATAAACTGGTAACATCAACAATATGCTAGGGCAGCCCCTCCTTATGGGAGATAACGGCTATAAGGCTGGTCAGCTGCGTCAGAGGGCGAAAGATGACATGCAGGGCAAATTATTCCCCAACAGTATGTGCTAATGCGTTGGCTTCAAAAGAGAAAAAAATGTCTATGATCTATGTACAGAGGTGAGATGTTTTGTTATTATAATCTTTTTGTTGCATTTTGTATTATTATTATTTATTGCCCAAAGTGCAGTCAAAACAGTTCGGTTTTTAGAATAGTACAAAAGAGGTATTTGTTTTTTGTACTGCATACTGGTACTTAAAAAAAAATGCCTTAAGTGTATACTTTTACTTTTTCTAATTCACTATTATGACAATAATAATAATAATAGTTATTTTTGTAATTATTCTAACTATCTATAATTTGTGTTTTTTTATTAATTTTTTGTATTTTATTATTATACTTTTTTTTTAATGGCCAAGTTGCAGTCGAAACAGTTGTTTATTCAGTCTGGTGGACAAGAGGGTGTTTTGTTGTTTGTTTGTTATATATAATAAGTGTAATAATATGCATGATATCATCAACTGCTATGCAACAAATGCAAAGTGAAATCCCCAAACGGAAAGTGGGTCAGCGTTCTGCAGGAAACAGCGCCATCTGCTGTGTGGCGACCATAACAACAGAATGAACTCGTAAAAGAAAAAAAAGCCGAAGCGGAGACAATCAGGAAGTGATTCAAATCGGCTTCGTACTTTTTTCCACTCTCTTGCATTTGGAGCTAGGCGCGTGCTGCGAGTTTCTGTCGGATCAATTCGGACTCTCCGCGTGCTTCTGGGGCCGGAGCTCGCTCAAACTCTCTCCATTCATTGAGAGCAGGAAGACATCTGGATCAGCTGCTGCGCCTGGAGCTGAAGTTTGCCGACTCTTATCCTCCATAAAGTGACATCAGGAGGTCCCTCCATTCCGCCGGTTTAACGGCCCGTTGCAAGGTGTGTATCCTCAGTGAGTGGATGTGTGTTTAAATGCTTCAGATTGGGGTGTTTTTGAAATGTTTTGTAATGATTTACTTTATTTTGGAGTCTAGATGGCCTCTGCGTGGCAAAGCGTCCTGTCTGTTCACCAGAAGATGGTGGAACATGGAGGTATGTAGTGATATCTTTTCCCCACATAAAGACTACAGTTCAGTAAAAACAACAAGCCTGTGTTCATTGTGTGTGTGTGTCTCTCTCTCTCTCTCTCTCTCTCTGTTTTTGTGTGTGTGTGTGTGTGTGTGGGAGTTTGGAGCTGCAAATGTGTTTCCCTGTTTGTCCTCACAATGACTGCTTTGTGGCTTGTCACACGGTTACGCCATCAAGACAAAAACGGCCTGTTTGTATTTTTTACGTTCCAGTTTTCTTTATCAGATTTTGGTTCCATTCTCTTAAAAAACACACACAACACACCACACACCACACACAACACAACACACACACAGGGTCACCTCGAAGACTGACCGGGAGAAGGAATTGTCCATTTCTGTAGAAACTAACAAAAAAAAAAAAATTAAATCTATGGCAGCTCTCACAACTTGTAACTTAATCAGACATGTGTCCAGTAGTTTTATATCATGTATTTTGGACTTGGTTAACATGACCATACACACAACTGGTCCCGAGTTGAGAGACCCACTTTCCNGGCTTAGCGCTGGCGTTTTACAGTAATTGCTCACGCGATTCATGACAGAAGCCGCAAGGTATCGCTAAAGAACATCCACTTCCTGCGCTCCCCCCGTCCCCCGTCCCCCCCATCTCTCTCCCTCCACCAGTCTGGTAATACATGTTCTCCCCGATCTCTCGAGGGTAGTGTGTGTTTGTGTGTGTATTACCTTGTGTTTCATGAGGGGCTTAATCCCCTTATCATCAGCTGTGTCTGCTTGTCTCAGTGGAGTTTTTGAATTCTAAAGAGGATCCTTCTCAGGTGGATGAAACTTCTTCAAGGACACCAGGTGCTCAGGTAGAGAGACCAATGGAAGGATGAAGACTAAGCTTCTCCAGAAACGATGAACACCTTCTTCATGTGTTTAGTAAAAGTCACTTATGTCTAATCTCTTTCATTACACTATTTTGAAATGACCATCCCATCTCGTTTAGAGCCCTTGACTTCCTGCCATGTTATTGTCCGCCCCAACTCTTGATTGGTGCCACATGTGTCCCATTAACTCTTTTATGAATAGTCCTGGTCTCCCTTTGTCCTGTGCCAGTTTGGCTTGTCACATGCAGTGTCAAGAGAGCCATTAGTCTTATATTTGAACTTATTCGTGGCTAAGTGTTTTCCTCCTGTCGTACTTAGTTTCCTCAATTGAGTATAGATTGAAGTTTTTATACGTTTGTGTCGAGTCCCTGCATTTGAGTCCCAGTCATTGAGTCCTGCTCACAGCTCAGTGCTTGTACTGAAGGTGCATTTTGACCTAATGCAAGCGGAATTGTAGAAGCATTCTTTAAAGTCAATGCAATAGCATATTTAGGAATATAGTACATTTCAGAGATTCAGGTAGCCTATAGGTAGGTAGACCTTCTGTAAACTATAACACTTTGTTTTTTAAGTAAAACACAATACTTTCAAGTACATTCGGAACATTGGAAACCCTGACTATTAGAAAACATCTCTCTGTTGCTTCAGAGGCCATAACAGACTTTGTTGATTTACCAACAGTTGATTTAAAAATGGGTGTGGGTCCTTGTACTCCGAGTCGGGCTAACGTCCACGCTAGCTTCCACGCTAGCTGCCATATGTTTTGCATTGAGGTGATACTTGAGGCTTGATGTGCTGCGGTGATATGCGAATTCCTTTTTGCATAATTTGCAAACAACCGTGCTCTTATTGACGCTTCCATCCGTCCGTTTTTTAAAACAAAATGTCCCATCCACGGGGCCAACCAAAGCGGTCTCATCAGCTTCTTCGTTCATGTTTGACTATTGTTCACTGTGGTTTGTTGTTGTTTGAAGTCATGAACGTTAGTTGGTGCTCCAGTATAATCGGTACCCCTGAAACTCATCCAGTGAGAAACGTTCCGCGGTGCAAAAATAAGTGCGATTAAAATGCGTTAATTTTTTTAACGCGTTAATTTTTGTGTAATTAATTCATCTTAATTAACGCGTTAAAGTCCCGGCCCTAATATATATATATATGCCGTGAATAACTGTGCAATATGGCTGCTACATCTTCAATATATGCCGTGAATAACTGTGCAATATGGCTGCTACATCTTCAGAACTGTTACAGACTGTTTATTTAGTAAATTATGTAATTATTTAAAA